TCTTATGAAAGACCGTAGTGAATTGTTCTCTATTTTTCAGAAATTTCATGCTGAAATACGCACTCAATTTGGTGTTCATATGAAAATACTTCACTCCGATAATGCCAAAGAATACATCTCCTCATCATTTCAGCAATACCTAGAACATCATGGAATAATTCATCAAACTTATTGTGCCTACACCCCGCAACAAAACGGTGTAGCTGAACGGAAAAATAGATATCTTCTTGGAACTGCTCGGTCCTTGATGATCAATATGCATGTCCCAAAGCACTTTTGGAGTGATGCTGTTCTTACATCCTGTTTTTTGATAAATCGGATGCCCATGTCAATCCTTGGAAGTCAATCCCCTTTCTCCGTGTTGTTTCCCACTTTGTCTCCCTTTCCTCTCACCCCAAGAGTCTTTGGCTGTGTTTGTTTTGTTCAACACTTGGGGCCTGGAGTAGACAAGTTAGATGCTCGAGCTACGAAGTGTATTTTTCTTGGCTACTCAAGGATTTAGAAAGGGTACAAGTGTTATTACCCTAAGTTTCATAAATCGTTTGTGTGCCCTGATGTCACCTTCTTTGAATCAGTTCCTTTTTTCTCTAATGCCGGGGTCTCTTCTTCTCCCTCTGTGGTTCCTCTTCCTGTTCCGGTTGTGGACCCCCTTCCCGTTGCTCCCACTCCCACTGCAGATGCACATCATATGCCTGTTACTACAGAGAGGCCACCAATTACTCAAGTGTATACCCGCAGAAGTGCTTCGGCTCCTGCTCCACTTCAGCACCCGTCGACAGATCCTGCCACTTCTCCTTCTCCCTATTGCTTTGCGAAAAGGTAAACGTACTTGTACTTCTTATCCCATTTCATACTATGTTTTCACTGCTCACCTTTTTGCTTCTCATTGTAAGTTTTTATGATTACTCTCATCGGTTCCCATTCCCAAGACTGTACAGGAAGCCCTTACCTCTCCAGGGTGGCGGCAAGCCATGGAAGAAGAACTCTCTGCTCTACAACATAGTCATACGTGGGAACTCACCACCCTTCCTCCTGGTAAGCACACTGTTGGATGTAAATTGGTCTATACAGTGAAGCATCTTCCTGATGGCAGTGTGGAACGATTGAAGGCGCGGTTAGTGGCCAAGGGCTATTCTCAGTTATATGGTCTGGACTATATGGAGACATTCTCTCCTGTGGCTAAAATTGGTTCAGTTCGGGTGTTGATCTCATTGGCTACTATGTATGATTGGCCTCTCCTACAACTTGACATCAAAAATTCCTTCCTACATGGTGATCTTGTTGAGAAGGTGTATATGGAGCAACCACAAGGGTTTGTTGTTCAGGGGGAGGCTGGTAAGGTGTGCAGGCTCAAAAAGGCAATCTATGGACTGAAACAATCTCCTCGTGCATGGTTCGGCAGGNTTTAAGGGATTATACTTTTCCACAATCCTAGGAATACATATTCACACAATTCTATTTTTACACAACTACAAAATATAGATGCTAACTACCAAATATGCATCTACACCAGTAACCCCACGTCTTCCAACAAAGACTAAGGAGGAACTGTAGACCTTGAGAATCTATGATCTAGATGATGCTTTTCAATTGGCACTTGATGTAAGAAATTTGAAGCAATTTGAATATACAACAAATGATGACTTTTAGTTATAGGTGATTTCTTGCATTTTCTGCATGTGTATCCTAATGATAAAGTTGAGAATGAAGAGGAGAATCAACAACCAATGTTAGATACCAGTGGGAGAGACTTTAGATTCTATAGTTACTATAGGTCTTCACCAAGGTTCAACACTTATCCCTTATCAATTTGCACTGATCATAGATGAATTGACAAAACATATTCAGGGGAAAGTTCCATGGTGCATGTTGTTTCTAGATGACATTATTTTAATTGATGACTAATAAAGGATTAATTGCAAAATTAAGCTTATGGACAAATGCCTTAGAGATAAGTGGTTTTAAAATAAGGACTAAAACAAAGTATGTAAAATGTAAATTTAGTAATAATAGGAGTGTAAATCAAGATACACTTAGGATTGGAGACTGAGAGATAATTCAATGTGACCATTTCTGGCACTTTGGTTCAATAATTCATAACAAGGGAGAGATTGAGGAGGATGTCACCCAGCAAATTAGAGCAGGGTGGGAAAAATGAAGGGATGCATTCGAACTTTTATGTGATAGGCGAATACCACTTAAATTAAAAAGGAAAATTCTATAAAACAATTGTAAAGACAGCTATGTTGTATGGAGCGTCGTGTTGGGCAGCTAAGAAACATGTCCAAAAAATAAATGTGACAGAAATGCAAATGCTAAGATGGATGAGTGGAAAAACTAGAAAGAATAGGACTAGGAATGAAGTTATCCGTAGGAACATAGGAGTATCTCCAATAGGTGATGAAATGAAAGAGAGAGAGAGTAGACTAAGATGGTTTGGCACATGCATAGGAGACCACCAACTGCACTAGTTAGAAGAAGTGATTTGTTACACATTGAAGGGGCTAGAAGAGATTTGGGTAGACCAAAGGGGGCATGGGTAGAAGTAGCAAGAAATGATTTAAGCACTAATAATTTAACAGTGGATATGTTTTAAATAAAATTGATTGGGGAAATAAGATTCATGTAGCCGAGCCCATATAGTTGGGATAAGGCATGGATGATGATGATTTAATTAAATATGTATTTTCAATATCCAAACCATCTTTGATCATTGACCGATAGGCTTATGTCTTACACCTCAAGGCATTAGGCCTCTTTGACAAGGACCTAAATCTCAAATTAATACTTTGAGGCTTAAGCCTTGTGTAGGAGAATAGGCATGCACAAGGCCACAGGCCTGCTTTAACCCATTCCAAGCCAATGCCAAACCAGCCCAGTCCTACTTGGGTCATGAAACAGCATTTCGGGACAAGTCATGAGTGTAGCAGTGGGCTAGTGGCTGACAGCTGGCCACCGATGTTGGCATGGCATAATTATTTAATGGGTGGAAGAGTGTAGAGAATCTTCTGTTAGAAAAAAAGAGAAAATATATTAAGTAGGGATTCCCGAATCAGAGGGGGGGAGTCTAATAATTAGGGATTTGTGAATAATATGAGGGACTCTATTAAGTACTCTATTAAGTAGGGATTCGTGAATCAGAGGAGGAATCTCTATTACTTCACCCATATTCTCTCTCCTCACCGACTTTCAACCATTCCTCAGACTTTCAGAGTTCAGACCAATCCCATTGCCTACACCTTGAGGAAAAACCTGTGTACCTTACCTCAAGGCATATACATCATGCCTTAATGCTTGAACCTTTTAAAAGCATGAGTGCAACTTCATAAAGCTTCTACAATATTCTGAAATTTTAAACCTTAAATGTCTAATTTATCAACATCCGACATATAGCCCCCTAATGAAATGGAGATACTTCAACGATATTGTACCAAGTTTTCCTGATATTGCAAATCGGATCTGCTGACCACAACACATTTCTGGCCATGTTCACTCAACCAAACATATGGAACATCAATTGTGTTGTGGTCACCGATATTTCCAACGTGTGGCTGGATGAGCGTTGCCAGCAATGTGTTGTGGTCAGCATAAACAAACTCGGATTAGCCAGCCCTATAAATGTCATAATGTGTTATAAATGTACAATTATGTAAGGAATGGATGTTTGGATTTTGTCTGAGTTATTATAGCTTATGCTAAAAGTGTTGAGTAATCCCCATGACCTAAAGTTATTTGAGGCACCCCTACATTTTATCTGATCCAAGTACATTTATCTTATTTCACACCAAAAATTGAAAATTTCCTGTTTGTTTCTGTTTTTGTCCTTTTCTGCAACCAGTTGCTTCATATTTGGATGCCCCCAGTAAATCTTCATTACCTTTCATTATACCTGGAACCTTGGATTTTTTAAATTTTCAAGTTTCATTGAAAGGTAGTTTTTTGTCCTTCTTTGGTGAATTACAAACCAAGACTTATTTCTCCAATGTAAGCTTTTCATTGTTTTAAAACAAATCTACAATTATTGCAGTTAAGCTTTGATACCCTTTGTAACCTGTTAGAATGCTCGAGTCAGGGGTATTTTGGTCATTCTGGTGTATCTTATTGAAAGTGAAATGTCTATTGTATCTGAGTTTAAGYTATGTGTCCCATCTTCTATGAGGGACAAAATTGTCTTTCTTGTAACTTAAGTTTTATGAATAAAAGTCAAGTGGGTCGGATAGGAGAGTGACTTTTGAGCATCCTCTCTTCTAGTTTGGCCGAACACTCTTCTCCTCTCCTTCTTCTTTGTCTTTTCTTTCTTCTGTCTTCTTCTCTACTTTGACCTAGAAACAACTAGGGCTTATTCACATAACCTAACCAAACTCTACCTTTAGTCTTAAGGTCATTCCTAATCCCTGTTCTAGTTAATTAAGTTCTCCCTAGAGTCACCCTTGGGTCATTGCCATCCTAAACCAATTGGTAGAAATGCAGCCAGTCCTGCATCATGGGATGACCTGATTGATGTGATTTTTTAGTTGTTAAAAATGCATGAAACCATTGATGATATCACAGATGAGTATAAAAACCCTATATGTCAAATTAACTGAAGATTGGAACTAACACAATGTAAAGCACCTACCTTTATCATATCATCAATTGAGTTGGTTTCTTTTTTGATCTTTTGGCGATTGACAATAATAATTGCTGCAACACAGAAGATAGGTAATTCATCATCTCCATTCCTTGACGATGAGATAACAGTGCAGATCTCCATGCGATCATTCCTTGACCAACAATTCCTAGTCAAGCCACAAAGTGAATGACTTGATGCAGATTTCATAACCATATTGTCAGACATGGATCGTTCTACATTTGCATGTTTGGATTGTATACCACTGCTTGAAATTCCATTTTTGTTTTCTGCAATTGCTTCACCAGTTTCTGACACTGGATCTCTTGAAATCTGTACCACCAATGGTTCAAGACAATGTTCCTCTAAACCCTGAGCCACAGATTCATCAAAATCCGCAGCCCACATCATCTGAAATGAAAGGAAAGTCATGAAAGTCGGTTTAACTTCTTTACTCAGAAAAATCAACATTAAAATGTTCTACATTTGGTCTGAATTAAATAATGGACATCTAATGAGACTCTGAACAGTGTACATGATTATTTTTCCAATGAAGATTTCAGATTTTTCCAACAATTTACTGTCCAGCTGCATTCATGACAATAAATGCTCTACATGCATAAGAGCAGAAAGCAAGAATACATTGAACTCTTTCTATCATATCTGACTACCTATACCAACTTAAGTGCCACAACAATAAAATGAGAGCGACTGCAAGAGGAGTGAGAGCACAAGAGTTGTAGGCAAAATCTCTCTTTATTTCTCTGTCAAGTAGTCATGGCTATTCAAAATTTCAAGTTCAAAGGGCATGAGATCTTGAGGATCAAAGTACCAGTGCTGTGAAAATGTGGTTTCTATCACAATTTTTTGCTGTGTTTGGTTTGAAAGAAAAGGTAGAGAAAGGAACTACCTTTTCTTTCAAACGAAAAACAGCCTTGGAGAAATACAATAGATAAAAAACAAAATTATAATGCCATTTTCCCTTTATGGGTTCATGAATTCAATATATTGCTCAGAAGATCAATGTTATGCACTCTAAGATCCAAAATGTGTGATCTAGGAGCAATGGTGCACCCATGTTGTGAGAGAATTATATTGATACATGCAAGAGTCCATTTTAATAATCATAGAAAGCCTTGAATTTTTAAGAAGTTGACAAAGCAGGTAATTTGAAGATATAAATTAGGTAAATAGATGTAGGTTCTTTATGAGTTTATGACATGATCTTGATAAGTAAATGTGAGAACAAGCCTCAAGTATCATATTTGTTCTACCTTATTTGTGTTAGATAATGATGACCTTAGAGCCAAAAGGACTTCTTGAGGGTAAGCTGTGTAAGTAAAAAATTCCAAGAAGGAAATATAGGGAAAGAAAAGAGGAGAGAAGAAGAGAGAGAACAAAGGTAGAACAAGCAGTAATGTCAAATGAAAATGGGTGAGTTACTGTTAACTCCCCAAATTTCACTAATATTTTGAGAGCATAGTTACAAAAAATATCCCTTTACTGGTGCCTAAGTACAGATAAAATTAAAATGATAAAAAAATACCCTCAAACTTAAAGACATTACATCATGCTAAGCATAGATACCTATCATGCCTAGCTTGCACAAATTCTTGTCACATTTTGGCTTGGGAACACACTTAGTGAGGCAATCAGCCAATTAAACCTCAAAAATGGTAAGCAGATTTCTCCACAGGCAAATCTCACTCTAATGAAATGCATGTTCACTTAATGTGTTTTGTATGATCATATTGGACAGGGTTGTGATCTATGTTTATGGTGTAGAGATAAACAGAGTTAGCCAAGGGCTATTTTTGTACTTTCTTACTTCTACAATAGTTTGTTTTGTACACTAACTTTTGTATACTAAGGGAAGATTTGTCCTTTTATGTTTAATATAAATATCATTCTTTTGGGTGTCGACAATCACTTTTGACACACCCACCAAAGTGTTGTTCTCTCTCTCTCTCTCGACCTGACTCTGACATGGTATTAGAGCAGGTCATGATCTGATCTGCATAAAAATTCTTTTATTATCTATGTTCTCTCTGTCCTTTTGGGGTTTTCCTAATAGTATTTGGGAAGCCTTCAAGTGCTCTTGAATCCCTTTCTAGGGCTGCTTCAATCAGAACTATACAGACCCGTTTTCTGGACTGTTGCACCATCAGAAATACTTTTCTCCTTGGATCTCCTTGTAGAGAAACATCAGATTGGCCTGAATCTTTAGATCTGGTGTCACCTAGAGGAGATCTATTGGTTCTCTTTGGCTTGGTTTGGTTTGGATTGATTTTGATATAGAAGGGTTTCGATCTACTTCTAGTTGCTAAAATGACTTCTGTGAGAGTTCTTTTATCCTTAGTAGTGAGCTATGATTGGTCTTTGTATCATTTTGATGTTAAGAATGCATTTCTGAATGGTGATCTCAATGAAGAGGTATATATGTCCCTTTCTCCTGGTATATATGGCAAGGAGATGCAAGGTAAGGTGTGCAGATTGAAGAAATCACTTTATGGCCTGAAACAATCTCCACATGCTTGGTTTGACCGGTTTAGGGCTGCTCTTGTTCAGTTCAGCTACACTCAGACTCAATCAGATCATACCCTCTTTATTAAGAGAAGAAGCACCCTGGTGACATTCCTTAGTGTAGATGATATTGTTGTTATTGGTAGTGATACAGAAGAAGTTAGTGCTCTCAAGAAGTTTCTTAGTTCTAAATTTGAGATCAAAGATTTAGGGGAGTTACGGTATTTTCTTGGCATTGAGGTTGCTAGGTCCAAGGAAAGTATCTTTATTTCTCAATAGAAGTATGTGCTGGATCTTCTTACTGAGATTGGAAAACTTGGTGCTAAACCTGCCTCTACCCCTATTGATGTGAATCATAAACTCTTATCTAATGGAGAACTTTTAACTGATAGGGGAGTGTTTCAGAGATTATTGGGGAAGCTTCTTTATCTATGTATGACTCGTCTAGACATTTCATATGCTGTGAGTGTCATTAGCCAGTTCATGCATGCTTCCAGAGACACATATATGTTGTAGAAAGGGTGCTATGCTATCTTAAGGGAACCCCCGGGAAGGGTATCTTATTTGATAAACATGGCCACATGAAGGTAGAAGCATATACAGCTGCTAATTGGGCAGGAAATTTGGATGATAGGCGATGCACATCAGGTTATTGTGCTATGGTAGCCGGAAATATTGTTTCTTGGAGAAGTAAAAAGCAATCAGTGGTTGCTAAATCTTCAACTGAGGTAGAGTATAGGGCTATGGTCCATGGGGTTTTTGAGTTGTTATGACTTAGATCTCTCCTTGATGAGATAGGTGTTTCATGTAACGAGCCACTAATGTTGTATGGTGATAACCAGACTTCTACTAATATTGCTCACATCAGCATGATAGAACTAAGCACATTGAAGTACACAAACACTTTATACAGGAGAGAGTGGATTCAAGAGAGGTCTGCCTTCCTTTCATTGAATTAGAAGAGCAGCTAGAAGATTTTCTAACTAAAGGAGTTCCAAAGGCTAAGATTCAACATTATGTAAGCAAGTTGGGCATGATTGACATCTATGCTCAGCTTGAGGGGGAGTGTAGTGAGAATGAGCCGAATGGGCCATAGTGTTTCTTATTTCTTTTAAGTAGTGTTTAAGTTTATGTTTGTTGGTTATGGGCCTTAGTTATGGGCTTTTTTTGTTTTCTTTAATTATTTATTTAGTGTTGGTCGCCCCATTAAGGGCATCTAGGTAATTGTACTTAATTTTAGAATTAAGTTAATAAAAGAGATCAAGGGGGCTAGAGAGAGAGAGGTTTGAACTCTTCTTTCTCTCTTCCCTTCTCTTCTTCTTCCACAACCTACTGTTGAAACCTCTTTCTTCTTTCTCTTCTTTCTTTTCCTATATTTCTGAGTTACTGCAGGTGTATTTCTCAACTAACATCTTGGTTGGCAAGTGGGTCATGGATTTCTGCTGCCAAGGACTCTAATCATCATTCCATTTGGCTGTTCCTTCAAACTTTTGATTTCTGGTTGTAATCTTCTGTTTTTGTTTGTGGTTAGTTTGAGGTCCTTGCCTTTTGGCAGAATCCTGACCGTTTGTTGCATCTTTATCTTCTGTTATCAGCATTAAATTTCTATTTTACCTTCTCAAAAAAATCAAAGATTGGAAGGTTGATGTGTTTAAACCCTATTTTGTCAAATTGGTGCGGCATTCAAGTATTTCTTGACTAAATACACATTTATGTGGAGATTGAAACCGGTTTATAGAGGTTGGGCCCTGGTGCAACGGTTGGGTTGCTCCATTGTGACCTGGGTGACCAGGGTGACTAGGGTTCAAATTTTGGAAACAGCTTCTCTATATGTGTAGGGGTAAGGATGCATGCATCTGTCCCTCCCTAGATCCCACATTGGTGGGAGCCTTTGAAATTGCTTTTGGAGAGATCTAAGCCTTCTGGAGAAAGCATCGCACTTTGATCTTCTATTTTTGGCGCAACATTGAGTTTGTATTCTTGATAGTGTTTGGGACCATAGTAATCTGAGTTTTTGCCTCTTGGAGACTTCAGATTATTATGTTGGAATAAATTGAAAAAAGCAAACAGGTATTTCAATCCATTGAGGTAACTTATTTTTATGTTTTTACATGTACCTACTACCATCCAGGAGTACATATGTCTACTTTTGATGTAATTAAGTTGCACATATAAATAAAAAGAGGGCTATACACAGACAAAAACTGTGATTTGAATTTGGAAAGAGCATCAGTGATAGTCCAATCGAAGGCTGGCCAGCTGTTGATAAACAAATGGTGCCCAAGCTCTAATGTAAAGGACTTGAAGATTGTTGGTAACATGATTGTGGGAGTATTAGGCTTGCAGTTTCACCTCTGGAGGCAAGAAACATTTGCCTTGCTTGCATCTATTTGTAGTGAGTGACTTGTAAGAGTTTTCTTACAAGACTTATTCAGCTTCCATGAAATTAAATGGTGTGAAACCTGAAGATATTCCCCAAAAAATAGAAATCTTCTCAGAGGGGATGTTGCTCTCTATATGAATGGCGATTTCCATTGAAGCAGATCTATGGAAGGAGGGAAGCAGGGAGGAAGATGTGTCAACACTCTTGGCCAAAAAGAAGAGAACAAGAATAATCTTAGAGGTGTCCAGAAATTGTCGACTCCCACCTCAAAGAGTCTCTTATATATTAAAAGACATGTACAAGAATGCCCATATAGGGCTGAGAGGCAGAAAAGAATAAAGAATACAAATATTGTGATATACAATAGGGACTATACTAATAAGATACATCAAGTCACAGAATCTCCACAAGATGCACTGCATGGTAGACAATATTGGTGAATTCAAATGATAATAGCCCTTTCATGGAAATGGTGAAGAAAAGAACAGGAATAGCAAAAGGTTGG